CTGACAGTGCTAGATTTATGCACCAATTTACCAGCTCGCGCGTGCAATGCGCAGCTACCTACCCCCTCCCCCAAATCATCGGTGAACGAAACTGTGGCAGCTACAACCAGTGTACGACCAGTACGCGGTTCTTACAGCTGACAATGATGATGATGATGACATCGGATGGCAGCCATTTCATGTAGTGTCTCCAGCCAGACACAGTGAGGATCACGCGGTCCCCATCCTGGAAGGCGAGTAGCACCGACAGCACCCAAGCGTTTCGTGATCTCCTTCATACTCCATTAATCCCACTCCACACGAGCGAATGTTTCATTATAATCTAAAATCCGCAGTCGGTAAATCTCTATGGAGGGTGAATGTTGTATAGTTGCTGTTTTTCAAACGTTTCATCGTTGACTGCTAAACCACTTTTTCTCGTTTCAGCTCTGTGTCAAAGCTTTGGATGAATAAAGCCTAGCTTCTGGGCCGTCAGTCTTCTCGGTTCTTATTCTGATTGTTGCTGCACTAACTCCCTTGTCGAACACAACGTCAGGACCAGATCCTGTCGTTTTTAGCTAGTCCTGGAGCAGCAGTGCATTTTAGGGGTGCAAAACGTATGCTAAAACTAATAGTGACATTATTCAGGTTGTCTGTTGGTTTGGGGGGGGGGATTCGATCACACAGGTTCAGTATCCGAGCACGTAGACGGTGAAAGGGCTGTTCCCCGAATGAGCTCGGCTACGCTGAATAGAAACCATGATAGTGAGAAACTCTGACGAAGATGACTCTGTGATACGCATGCAGCTTTATTCCTCATAGGGTTGGAAGATACGAACTGAGGTGTGGTTAAGACTTTTGTTACACCTTTAAAAGAGATTATGCAACGCGACTGACTGGGTCGGGTACTGTTTGTAAACCTAAGATTACGATGATTAGTAACCTCTGTATATTCAGCAGCGTCAAGAGAGCTGTCGGGGATGGGTGAGGGCATGGTTGTTGCATCTGCAAACTGGACGGAACACTGCTTGGTTTTCGCGACGGCGGAACTTTTGATTGGCTTAGAAGAGATGGTCCCCAACTGATATCCCCATGGTTCAAACATTCCGTTCCGGTGCCTCTCTGAAAATCGGAATACGAAAGGCCCACTACTCTTCAGGCGCTTCGTCTGAGTGAGTCATGTCATGTAATCGACCAGCCTTTCTCACAATCCCCAAATAGAACCGAGTGGTTCATTCGCCTTTGGGAGTCTGATTTTAGTGACTTCGCTTTCTGGCAGAACCGAGGAACTTACATCCCAGTGTACTTGGTTGCTACTAGTCATTTGGATCCAAGAGGTCATTAGAGTACTCAGCTCACCGTAGCTAACAAGGAAGCTTGTTGTGAATTGCGGAGCTATCTTCCTCAGCGACAGGCTCATCTAAACACCCTCACAAGGAAAGTGTGATGGATTGTGTGTCTCAGTGCCCCAATGAGCTACACTGGATGGTGTTTTTGAGGCACCCGCGGACTATCTCACACCAGGTTGGTTAGTCGTTAGACGTCTGACCAACATGCACTGTAATCGAACTAACAACCTCCTCGCTCCCTTCCGGATTCAGTTTGCGCAGCTCTGGTAATAGAGAAGCCGCTGAAGCTGGATACGCCGGCATGGGTATCTTATTGATTGGATACCCGTTAGTAGCCGCTTCTGTGCAGTCCATTTGGCAACATCCATGAAAGAATCTCGAGATAGTGAAGTCCATCGCACCCTGTTTATTGTGGCTGCTTAAGCTCCGACTTCAGCACTGAACGTGCGAAACAGTTTTTGACGCTCTTTTACAACGCGTTGAAGGCGCAGATATCGTTGTGGCTGTCCGGGGAGGTAGACTAAGCGCTTCTGAGGCTTCATTGGGCGGTCGTGTCGGGTTGGATACGAGACTCACCGGAAACTAAAATCATCCAGTTCATATATGTGCCGATCAGACTGTTTCATTGCAGTATCAGCTTCCGGAACAGCAATAAGCGCTGGCCCACGTTGCGCCCACCAGCAAACCAGTACCGAATCGCCGTCAGCTACCGGTGGCGAGGGTGGATTACTGCATGTCGCTCCTTCTGAAAGACCTGCATGGAGTCCGATCATATACTTATGCACTAATGCTGTTCACCTCGATTCATGACAAGACGTGAGGAACAAAATTACTGCGCTCAGTAAGCTGGGACATCAACCAACCAACCAACCAGAGCTACCGACATTCTTTTCGACATCAGACTTATGCGTGACTCTCACTGGACTCCAACCACACAAAAAGGTATATTCGTGTGATGCACCTTCAAGCGTTCTCAGCAGGCCTTCAACAGTCAACAATGACTATCCTTTGGAGCTGGTGTTCCGATTATTGTTCGCTGCGTTAAAGCTGCCAAGAATGAAGCACTGGAAGTGTTCGACAAGCATTCTTAGATACGTATTCGATCGTCTTCACCAATTTTATGGGCTATGAGAGAGCGCCGGCGTTCAATCTGACACAATGACAGGACAAGGGCACCACCGAAAAACTCATATCTGATCGGCCGATAGGGCCACACTACTTTGCTAATGTGGGGGGCCACATCGGAACATGTACCGGGGTAGGGGAATTTGGAGTTCCTAAGATTCTCCCGCAGCCATTTCTATAAATGGTTGACGAGGCCAAAATCGGCTTCAGAACTCAAGCTCATGTCGAACATCCGAATGTACAAGCATAAGTAGTCCACCTATTTCGCTATCGCGGAGTGGTAAGTCCGTCAAATAGTGCAATCTGCAGCAATTGAAATAGACCAGAGGCAGTGCATATTACCTCTTGTTTTGACTCTCATGGGTCAATTTAATGAACGTGTCCTTTCGGTTGGAACTTTTAAGGTTACAACCGGGAGTGCCATGGCCAGCGATTCAGGAACATTATTCAGCTTCCACAACACCGGAATGCGACGGCACATTGGCATTTGTTTCTCTAAATAAGCACCCAAATCCGCGATTTCATTCACGATATGGGGTGCGGACGCAGAGCACGACTTGACATAGGTGACCGGTCGGTTCCACTCTGGAAGACGCCATCTTTGTATAAGCCTCCTTTCTAACAAGAGAAACTTGTCCTTGAAAGCAACCCCTCTTTGGAGATATACCCCTGCAGTTCCTTCGTCGGTCGGGTCGCTAATCATCAACAAATGGTCAATCACAAGCAAACCCATGCACAGTTCACAACATGTATGGATGCATTGCACTGTACGCATATGTTACATGTAGAACAGAACCTTCATGAGCAAAAAAAAGGGTCTCAGGAAGATATCCACCTGCGAGCGCGCTAAAGAACACGGCAACGCCGAAAATATATAGGTTTTTTAAACTTGCCACAGTCCAACTCGTCCGAAAATACAAAAGCATAAAAACACAAAAGCCCACCTCCTACACAGGGCCCACCAATTTAATTCCTAATTCATTCGCAAGCAAAGTTTATGCCGTCAACAGTAGAAACCAAGTCTCGTCCATCTTGACCTGAATGTTTACTTTGAGCGCGTAGTTCAAAAATCGACCCATGATAGAAGCACAGAACAAACAGAAAAGGAAATTACGTCCTAAAAGCTACAGCGGTTTTCGGTTTGCTACATCATCTTGTTGAAATCACATTGATTTGCCTTTTCTGCAGTCTTTCTAGTGTCCAGCATCCAAAGTGCACCCTCCGGGCACGGTGGTTGGGAAAAAATAGGGGCATTTGTAGAGACAAATTGGACAGTCCCTAAGACAAAAGGCACCAAATTATAGTCGTTAACCGGTTAGGAAAAGTCGTGTCACGGCCGCTTTCAAAAGCAGTAACCTAGGGACGAACGCGCGGTTATTACTAGAAAAAGTATAATGTGTTTGATTGCCTTCAATTGCCTTCAACTTGAAAAGCTATATACTGCTCAACAGTTATCCTGGATTTGTGGATATTTTTGTCAATATCCTTAACTTCCAGTTGATATTTCACATCGGCTGGTAATGAAGCTTTGGACGGCAGTACCGTTTACACAAGTGACGCGACCTAAATCTCGTTCGCATGCACCAAGCGCATCATTGAGTCGCAACCCTGATACGCTGACACTTTCCTCAAAAAGAAGAATCCTCCCAATGCCTTTCATACCTTGCCAGATGGTCTGTCACGTGGAAAGTGTGTTCCATGTGGTGATGAGCATAAGTAATCCGAAGCAGGTATGTAGCGATGGTGATGAGCATAAGTAATCCGAAGCAGGCAATTTCCTCTTCCCGCTGGTCACAGTGAGGTATGGACCTCAACCGCGTGCTTCTGCTCGTCAGACACATCAGGAAAGGTCTGCAGCTGGACGAATTGCTGAGTGATTATGTCGTTGCCAAAGTCAATTTTGTAAGCGAGTATCAGGGAACTCGTGATACTACAGTCGTAACTCACCACGTTTATGCACCAATATAAGGTCGATAACGGTTAAAGATGAGGTCCACTAAGACACTACCAATGTCTGCGCCCCTAAAATAAAAAAAACCGCATAACCCAAAATTATTTACTAGCCAAATAGATGTGTGGAAACATAAGCAAAAGGGAACATAATTTCCAAGTTTCTCTTTGTCAACAGTTTAACAGAAATGGTCGTTGCCAAAGTGACTTTGTAACCACTAACGGCAGCCCAAATTAAATTCTATGCTTGTCATGCCATTCGGCGTTTTACCGCTACCACTTATTTCATCTTATTTCAAATAAGTTTTTGATCTTCTCCGTCTTCTGTATGACTTAACGTTAACTAGCATACATTTATCAACGTACTGATAAGGACATTGCAGACAGGGAGTCGAAGGCATATGAACCAAAATATTTGTGCATCTTTCACCAATTTTCACGGCACAATTTCTCCTTGTTTTCTCGTATGCCCCTTCCGCCATGCAGACAGTGAGTTGAGCCTAAATGTTCCATCGCCGTCAAATGATCCTCAAAGATATCCGAGTTTCCACCTTGCAAACAAGGACCTTTGCTATCTTTTTGAGATTCGTCTCGTTTTCCTGTGTTTACTAGTAGCCACCGGGGAGACGGATATAACATGCTACTCAAACAATTGTTTCAAGCTACGTCTGAAAATCGAGTTAATATTCTTAAAATGCTGGTGACGAATTTAAGATATGAACGGCACCGTGATAAAATGAATCGCAGGGAGACAGAAGGCGATCGGTTTGCCAGGCATAAAACGGTGCTCATTTCATCGGTAGCAGTTGCTAGGCGTGATATAACCGAAAAGTAGTGGGGATTAAGGGTTACTCCAGTGTGGGAAGTTCGGATTAACCAGACGGAGTAGAAATCCGGAATTCAGTGCAGCGTAACAAGTAGCACGTATGTATTCGGATTGGCGTATATATACAGAATATTGAATATTAAAACAACAGAGTAATGAATACAGCAATGAATAGAATATCAGTCATGCTCATCACATCCGCCACACCTTACATGAGCACATGGATGTTTATAGTCCAGTCGTGGTCTTAAGCGCAATCTTTCGGATCTTCTCGGAATGGGAGCTTCAGATTCTTCACAGGTAGTGGGTTCTTTTGATACAACTTTTTTCGGATACCATAAAATAATCTAAAAGGATTCATTAGTATTTGAAACAGCAGGAGTGTCGTTAACAGACTGACATCTGGTATTGAACTCAAACTGGTCTGTGTCTTCGGTGACAAGATGCGTCATCCAAATCGAGGATTATGACTATCCGTTTGCCATTTGAAGAAAGTACTATTCCTGTAGCAGGCCGTAAACCATTACCCTTGGAAAGTCTAACATCAGCCGTTATCGTACAGTCAAGACTTGTACGCAACGAACGAGATTTAAATAGAAGCGTGGGACTCTTGCCGGGAACAGCATGAACGGCATTTAGAAAATTATCAATCGCACGGTCCAATTCCACAACAGTGGTAGGAGAGTGAAATAATGGCAGACTTTATTGTTCGGACAAAATTCTCAGCATATCCATTCAACTGAGGGTGTCGCAGAGCACTAAACAGGTGTCGAAATCCAAGACCTTTCGACCATTCCTCGAGAAATTTTGCAGTGAAATGTGTGCCATTGCCGGTGACCAAAACAGTTAGTAGTGCTTCTTGGCTTAACACTTTCCTCAATGCTTGCTGTTCGGATTCGGCACTTAAGGACGCAGTTAGATAACTTCAGGCCAACGTGAATATGCATCAATAACGACTAAAGCATAGCACTTGTCGAGCAATTAGACCAGATTAGTCGGCATGAACTCGTTGAAATGCTTGACTAACAGGCTCGTGTAAGCCAAATGGAATAATTCGTCTCCTGGTTATTTGCATGCCACTGGTAGTTTTAGGACAATTACTAACTGATTGTTTGATTTCATTCTCATTCACAAACGTCGGTAAGGCGATACTGGTTTGCAGTGAGCGCAGAACTTTGACTCCGACAACCGATGGTCCCGGGGTTGAAACCAAAAAATTACGATCGATAAAGATACCTTGGGACAATTTATTACGGATCGTGCAACTACCACCTAGATGTACAGAATGTCCAGTGATAACACGAATGTCAACATCTGTAGGCACTATCACGACACTGGGATAGAATGCAGTTAGATTTGATTGTGCAACAATGGACTCAACAAAAACAATATCAACAATGAAGTCATGCTGTTGATCAGATGCGGATATCAAAGTTTTAAAAATATGTGACGAATTTTGGGACAAAACAGATAGAGAAAGAGTAGAAATATCTTCAGATGATGCCTTCACGTCAGTACTTGGGTCAAAAGCTGAGTGACACATTTTCTTGGACTTACAGTCAAGTTGAATGTATCCCGTTTCGCCGGAGATAAAACACTTCGCTCGTCTGTGGGGGCAGGAAT